AGGATTCCCATGAAAGAACTCCGGCCGAACGCAAGGATTGGCACCAAGAGCAGAAAGAGTTGTGCCACGTGCCATGAATGCTGCCATCAATTGAGTTTGGTTGTTCAATTGCAAGCATATAGCATCAAGCAATTGTACCAACTGCTGCTTCAAAGTCAAAACAAGAGATTGCTGATTTCCCATGAAGATGAACAAAAAAGAAAGAGCAAAAGAAGAGAAATGACAAAAAGCTAAAAGGAAATAGTTGATCTAGACAATGCAAAAAGCTAAATGTAAACTAAAATCCTAAAAGGAAAGAACAAAAGAAAGGAAATGGAAAAAATTACATCTAAACGATGCAAAAGCTAAATCTAAACCAAAATCCTAAATCTAAGCACTCCTCAGAGACAATCAAAGGTGCCCCTCACCTCCACTAATGTGAGTGTTTGGAATATGGAAAGGGAATACAGAAAATGTACATATCAATTAACCCAAAAACCTTAGCTTATATACAAGAGCGAGCGGTCCGGATTAAAAGCAATCTGACAACTACTAAAATCCTATTATGCTAATATTAGTATATGGCATTATAGCTGTACACTTGGCCCTCACAAGGTATATTTTACTATTTAAAAAATTATAAATATGTTTTATAATTTTTTAAAAATATATTATCATATTATAATATTTAACATATAATCAAGCAGATTTATAATTTACAAACATCTTGATATTTTTTATTTTAAAAGAGTGGTGTAAATATTTCTTTGTATTAGTTTTAGTTCCTTGTAATAGTTATAAATGGGATTTAGATATAATGGTTTTATTTGATAGCATTGATTTGAAAGTTGTGATTCTAGTTTTGTCTTGAGTTAGTTAGTATTATTAGTAACTAATCAATAAAAAGAAAAACTGCTACATGTCTAGCATACTATACATACAAGTTTACTTGAGAAAGTGGCAATGCACATGAAGAGTAAAGTGCTTCATATGAAATTTATTTTCCATTATTTTAATATAGTATTTGTGTAGTTTGAATTGTTTAGAAAACATCTTCATTTCAGCTCTATAGCATATTGACTACAATATATAATCCATGTATTTTGAATTTAAAATGTGATTTATAATTTGCGGCTGTGCATCTAATATAACAACACTAAAAAAACTAAAATTATTATTTATAATTGTAAAATTACAAAAGTTAGAAAAACTTATAAACATTCTTAAGAATTTATAAATTTAATAATAATCTAATATCAGTTATATGAAATAATATAATGCATATTCAAGAATATTCTAAGTATACATATATATCATTTGACTAATAAGAATAAATACTTGGTAGAAATAAGGAAATATTACAATAATAAAAAATAATATTTATTTTCTAACAAAAATAGATGTTAAAAGTAAGATAAAAATGAAATCTGTATTAAAAACTCCTAGTTTCATTTACAATGTAGTGTGAAAACTATTGCTTAAAATATCAAATTAATGAGTATTATATAAATTTATTTATTTATATTATATTTATCCATTTAATATATTTCTTACATTAATAAAATTTAAATATGAAATTAATACTAATTTACTTATAAAAGCTAAAATTTAAAATTTATTATGACTAATAGGAGTTTATATTTTTTATTCAAGATGTGAGTTCCAAATATACAACTAAAATCCCGTATATTAATATTAACGTAGTGGGATTTTAGTAGCTATCAGATTTGTTTCAATATAAAGTTTTGGGGCTAATTCAATATACACATTTTTATATTTTACCATATGTCATGTTTTCACATTCGTGGTGGTGAGGGGTAACTCTAATTATCCTGATAAGTGTTTAGGTTTGTGCTTTTGATTTAGATTTAGCTTCTATATCTTATAAATCTCTCTTATTTGTATAGTTTTTCAACTTTTTATTTTTTGCATTTCTTCTTTTTGTTCATCTTCATGGCAAAATAACAACTTCCTCTTCTTTTGACTTTGGAGTAATAATTAATGTAGTTGCTCAATGTTGTATAGTTGTAGCAATCATAGCACATGGTGCACCTCTTTCTACTCTTGTTGCCAATTCTTGTGTTCAACTAAAGTTTTTTTTATAGGAATCTTGAGGATGATGTGTAGTATTTGCATGAGTTTCCCACATGTCTCAAAGGGATGGCAATACAATGGTACAATAGTTTAAGAGTGGCAACTTGTGTAGATTGGAGCCTTCTCTGAAATGTACACGTGGACATCCTAATGATCGTAATGATGCATTTCAGCAATTGTATCATCTTTGTCAATAGTTATTTGAGTTAGTAATGCAATTTAGTGTCCACTTCCAAAACCTCTTATTTCATGTAAAGCTAAATATATGGTTAGCACTTCGTCAAGATCTTGTGGGCTTGTGCATACACTAATTGCAACCACCTTTAATAATGTCATTTAATTGTATAACACTATGAAACATCACCTTTCCCACATATCACTATAAATTTTATAGTTCCACTTTCTATGGAAGATGATCCTATCACGTTATTGATCCTCTTTATTGATCTTCCAGATTATATGGGAAGAAGCTATTAGTACTAAGTTAAATTTCGCTTATATGTAATACCAAGTGCTGATGGCTAAAATTAAAGTTCCTAAGGCTACTTTTCATAAATCATTTGGTTTATACAAGTTCTTTATAATGCCAATGAACAATGCTCCAATAGCTTTCTTTTTAATAAATGATAGACGAGGTTCTTTGTGATATGTTAGAGGTGACTATTAACTTTATTGATGATGTTTTAATCCACTTGAAGGGGATATAGAAGGAGCACATGTGATATTTGCAAAGTGCTAGATTGGTTGCGGGAAGTTGATTTAAATTTGAAGTAGTCGAAGTGCATACTTAGATCTAAAGACACAACTTACCTTGGGTATTATATTTCTCGTAAAGATAACAAAGGTTGTTGAACATCGAATTTATAAATTTTATTTTATAATGCTAATTGAAATCTATATTATATCAAGGAGTATTAGTGATATTTAATTAATATTACTTTTTATTGTAGAATATTTTGTAAAATAATAGATTATATTTAATTAATATATTATTTTATTTATTTTGAGCACATTAAATAATATAAGAAATAGTGAATTCGTTTAAAAGCTCATAAATATCAGAATTCTTTAAAATGTATCGATATAAATAATTCTTCTATTATTTAAATGAGGAAAATACTGAGTATCAAAGTATCTATAATTTGTTTAATAAATATACATATTATTATTGTTTTTTATATTATATTCTGCATTTTATATTCAGAATATAGGGACTATATATTGTAGTCAAGATACTGTAGAGCTGAAATCAGTTAGAATTTCTTTTTAAACATTGAAGCTACATAAAAGTTACTAAATATTTTTTTAATTTTTAATTTTAATTTTATTATTATCTAGAATATATTCAATAATGCATATTTAAAAAATTTCTATTTTACATTTTTTTGTTTTTTTTTTTTTTTTGAGCTGATTGTGTAGTCAAATAAAAGTGGAATTGAAAGTCATCTTAATTTTACTCAATAAAGTTATATCTTATATATTGATGTTTTTAAAACACTATATTTCATTTTAAATATAGATATGAAATATTTTTATTTTTTATTGTTTTCTATATTCTTTATTAACATAAAAATAATATTTGCTCCAAGACATTTTCCTCCAAAATTTGGAAGATTAAATATTTTAAACCAGCATGATATCACCAAAATTATTCAGGCTATTAATGGTTTAATATTTACAATTGATCGTGCAAAAAATGATTATATTGTTCAAACATTTAGTGAACAAACTGAAGTGAGTACGTCACAGGGTATTGTTGATTTAATAATTAAAGTTAAGCCAAAATGTGATGGTGAGGTTACTGAAACTATTAAAGGTTTAAATTTAATAATGGGTTTTGATAGAATTTTAAGTACTACTGTTAATTTTATTTGTGAAAATCTTTCTGATTTTTTTCAGAAAGAAACAGAAAGGTATTCTATACAATATAAACTTAGAGATAATTCTGAACTTTTTTTTGAACAGAAATATGAAAAATATCATACTTTATTTTTAATTTGTCCTCTTGAAAATAGCATTTTATATCCTGGGTTCAAACTTTATAAAGATCAATTTTTAACATCACCAAATAATAAAATTATTTTATTATTAGATTCAAAGTGCAATCTTATATTATACTCTAAAAGTCTTAAAATTTGGGAATCTGAGACATCAAGAAATATTTATAGTGATTGCTTTTTGTTATTAAAGTTAAATGGTAATTTGGTTTTAGTTTATGGTAAAGACATTATATGGGATACTAAAAGTTTTTGTAAGGAAATTCATTGTACCTTAATATCAGTGTTCACTATTCAAAATGTTTGCAATTTAGTAATTTATAATGCAAAATATCCTAATAATGTTTTATGGTCGTTAAAAGCTTCACATCATAATCTTTGTTTTATTTAAATTGAAAGACTTAATTTTTATTTTATAAACGTTTTAATATATTTAATAAATTTATAGAATATAGATAATAATAATCTATAATTTGATCTCCTCCTACAATTATGCTGAATATCACCATTCATAAACCTCTGAGTATAATAATAATAAATTGCTATGTGTTTCTGTAGCAACACTTGGTTTGCTTAATAGTAGTGTTATTCTTACTTATTAATCTAATTGATCAAATAAAATTTATATTTATAAGCATATTTATAATTTATAAACACAAGATTATCAACAATTAGATGATAGAATAAAAATGAACATACTAGAAAGGGTTTAAGAAATTTTATAATTTATAAACATGTTTATAAAATTATAAATACAAGACTAATGTAAATGAATTACAATCATCGATGGTAGAATATTCTAAACTATTTAAGAATATTCTAGATATATCAAACCAACATAGGATATACCTGGGTATTCTTGAATATTCTATAATTTAATTGTTGATATTACCACTACTTAAGCAAACCAAAAATAACAGTTTCTTAATGTCAATTGCTAGAAATAATTAACGTTGTTGATAATTTGATTCCATATACACATCTTCTAATCAAGCAAAGCTAGTAGAAGCACCAGCAAAAAGAGCAGCAAGGATCTCTGCCTGGACAACAATCCGCTGTTGGCAGCACCACTATTGCTGCTGGAAGACAATGATGATCCCTGACTACTACACGAGCTCAAATTCTTGGTGGAAACGTTCCTTGGCACGTCCACAGTGAGGCACAGATCTACGTTCCCACGAAGATCCAAGTTCTCGCCCAGCCTGTAGAGGAAATCTCTTTGGAAAGGCACCGGTCCGGAGAGAAGATTGTTGCTGAGATTGAGATGATAGATGTTGGAGAGCCTGGCAATGCTGGAAGGAATGCTACCATTGAGAAGATTGTCCTCGAGAGAGAGCTCGCTGAGATAGATCAAATCCCCCAAGCTCGCGGGAATGGAACCGAAGTATCCAGAGCTGGAGAGGCTGAGCTCCGAGAGATTGGTGAGCTTGCTCCAAAAATCCGGGAGCTCCACGCGCATTGGATTGCCGTGGAGGATGAGGTACTCGATCCCCACGAGATTGGCCAGTGATTGGGGCAACTCGCCCGTGAGCTCGTTGTCACTGAGCGCCAAGAATTTCAAGCCCGCCAAGGATCCCAGCGAGGATGGGATCCTTCCCGTGAGGCGATTGCCGCTGAGATCCATCTTCTGGAGCTGGGATGCCTCCCCGATCGAGGATGGAATGTGCCCGGAGAGAAGATTTCCATTAAGATCCAGGATGCTGAGGCTCTTGATCGCGCCAAGCTCCCCTGGAATCGCCCCGGAGAGGGCATTGTAGCTCAGATCGATGTGCTCGACCTTGGCCAGATCGCCCAGCTCCTTGGGGATTTGCCCCGAGAGGCCATTCTGCGAGAGGGAGAGGACCTCGAGCTTGGAGAGGCGCCCAATCTCGCTGGGGATCTCTCCCACCAGCGATGGATTCCCTCGCAGGCTGAGCATCTGGAGCGAGGAGGCGAGCTTGGAGATCCCGGGGACGATGGTGGTCTTGGAATCCACGAAGCAATTGAGGATGAAGAGGCCGCGCAGGGACTTGAGCTGGAGGAGCGATGGATCCATGGTGGCATTGCGCTTGCAAGTCGAGTTGGGCAGCGATCCAAAGTCGATGCGCGTGACGTGAGAGAGGCCATCGTCTTGCTGCTCGCAGTGGATGCCCGGCCATGGAGTGCTGCTACACGGGTGTGGGTAGTGCCGCCGCCACTCAATCTCCATCGTCAGAGCTTCCATCACCCGGAAGAGCGATTCCAGCTCGTTGGGATCCATGAAAGGGTCCGGCTGCTCGTAGTCCGAGTGGACAATGTGAGATGACCCTTCCTCTGCTCGTCCATGGATTCTTTCGCTGGAGATCGTCCTGGGAAGTGAAGCTAGCAGCAGCAGCACCACCACCATCGCCATCTTTGCTACGTTGTCATGGAGCCTGTGGCGCTTTGGATTCTCTCTGCTGGCCATTATCATCCTTGTCCTGGAGGGTGATCTAGCTCCATCTCTGCTGCTGCTCGTCATCACTGCTCTTCCCGATCTAGCTCCAACTCTGCTGCTGCCCGCCATCACTGCTCTTCTCGATCATCAAACGGAGTAGCTTCGCCCTCCCTCGTCTTTGTGTCTCCGTCGACGATGCACAGTGGTGGTGGTGGCGATGGAGATCCTGGAAGAAGGAAAACAAAAGTAATGCGCTGCAAGTATTGAGATTTCAAACCTGTGCATGAGTTATTTATTCCTGTCCCTTCGCTGCTTTCTCGTCTTTCTCCTGTTACCAATCCACTCCACGGCTCCTCGAGGCATATTTTATCGATCGGGTAAATGCGATAGATCTCATGTAAAGCAACGTCCTGGAACAATGTGTAATCCCGGATCCCCGAGCGTAAGTGACTTGCTATGATTTCTGGCAGAGTAAACAATAACCTTGTTCTGTGCATTGTCTCCCTTTGACAACAGGGTTGAACGCAAACATTTCATGTCACCGCGGCCCTTCTTTTCGCGGACATAAAAGGACCAACTTGCAAGGAACTTCCATTCTTCCTCTCTCTCTCTCTTTCCTGTGATGCTGTAGACTATTAGAACAAAGCCAGGTTTAAAGCCGGGAGCTAAGTACCTCGCGCCTTGGATCTATCTCCGCTATAAAACTCCCTGATCAAGGCACAGTTCTTAGGAAGAATAGATTTCCAATTTCACTAGGTACCTTGCATGCCCGCTCGAAAGTTGGATGTTAAACAATCCCCCCAGGCGCATTCTTTAGCTCTCTTGCTTTTCTTTTTGTTTGCTTTTCCCTCTCCATGCTGGGTCCATGAGTTACGTGCATCGTACTACGTACAGTGCGATTTCCTCCACGCATTAGCTGTGACGTAGCAACAGGAGCAGAGTCAAGGATAACACTCAAATGAACTCATTCAAGAACTTATCGACTTACCACCCGCAGCAGAGGGTGCCAAATTCTTAAAAGCTCCAGTTGGTGGAGAAGAATTGAGGAAGAAACGTCGTACTTCCTTTGTCTCACTCAGCATGTAGCGATCAAATCAGGCACACACGCATGCTGCAGCACAGCACACATGCACACAATGGCTGTTCCTGCCCTCTGCTGGTACAAGTCTTTCCTGCGTATGCCATGCCTGGGCAATTGCTTCTGCCCCCACCATTTATCGCAACATGCCAGCCAGCCGTTTGTTGCTGCTGCTGTTGCTGCTGCAAGATCCAAACAAAACTTAGGAAGGCCGAATATTTCGTGCTTACCTCATAAGCGTGGACGAAGCTCCCGCTGGACCACGAGGAATTAGTTGATAGCAAAGATCTCCAGCTGAAATCCTGAAAAGCAGACACACAATCCGGCAGCAGCAGCGACGTCTTTCCAAGACCAAAGCTTTTGATTGTAGTACCTGTGCCTGGCGCGGGTGGTCAAGAATTACACTTAAACCAGTCCAAGCGTTGCAAATCCAAAACGAGCAAGGCGTTCAAAGTCAAGAACCCGAAAGGCAGTGACAACAACGACGCTCCAACAACAGCAAACAAGAACATCAGTGCAAGTTGCAAAGTAATATCTGGATGCATACCACCAGCCGGTGGCACCAGTCGGAAGAAACCGATCCGCAGAAGCACATGAGCGTTGTCATAAGTTGGGTGATGCGTTGGTGACGACCCAAAGAGGTGCGCTTTAAATAAAAATCCCAGCTTTTTCCATCCTTTTACTTGGAGTAGAATAAGCCCAAGGCTGTCCTCCTCCTCCTCAGCTCTGCCAAGAAACTTAAGTAGTACCCCCGCAGGATTTCAGAGGATAAAAATACAAAAGAGAGAGAGAAAGAGCACTCACCACCACATACTTGCATTTTTCTTCTTCCTCCGAGCAGCAGAGCTGCCTGGAATTGTTGAAGATCCTGTGCACCCACGTGCCAATCTTTCTCGGATTTCATACTTAAAATATACGCCCAGTGCCGCCCTCGATGTCATGGTTACAAACATCGCCGTTCTGTTCTGTCCACTTGTTTATGTATTCGGGGAAAAAACTAAGGTTGTGTGCCAGGACCATAGCCATTTTTTATCCAAATGCACCGATGTTACTTTAGGAATTTCTCTGCTTCGAACGTAGCGAACATCCAAGGATCAAGAACTCCCTGAAAGAGAAGAGAAAATAGAATGGTGTCGAATCGAACAAACAGGATCACAAGGAATGCAAAGACATACCCAGAGTGTATAGACTATGCGTGATCTGCGGCTGGCTATTCTTCTCCTTATATTGCTGCCATGCAATCTTCAAAGGGATTGGGCTTGTCATTTGGCCAAGTACCTCTCCGCAAAAGTTTGTCTTTTGATGACAAAGTGACTCGGAAAGCACTGCGAACGCGAAGCATGTCTTCTGCTTTTCCATCTGACGTGCCACACCCTGCCTTAAACCATCTCTTCAAATATATTTGAGACCTGAACACAAGAACAGAACCATCAGTACGATGGATGCTTGAAAATCATATCAGACCTCGTCGAGCTTCTCGGGCCTAATCAATGCTTTCATGAGCGTTGTATAAGTTATCTTGTCAGCTGTCAATCCCTGAAACCGAAAACATCAAAAGGTCGCAGCGAACAAAACGTACAGCTTCGTTTGATGTATTCAAACACCGGGAACACCACCTGACCAGACTAAACGCGTTGATCACCAGGTGTATCTCAATATTTTTCATGCTCGCACATTCCCTGCAAGAGCATCACCTCGTTCGAGAACACCGGAATGAAAGAATCGAAAAGCATAAACACGGTACCAGTTGAGCTGAGTAAGCCGCTGGCGACGGTCCCATTCCATCGCCTGGACTGGAACAAGCGTGCATGAATGTATATATCCACAAAGGTTGTGCTTGGAAACAGTCACTCGGAACGCATCTCCTCGACAGTTGGTTCACGTCATGCCACCGGTCCTGCTCTTGTTGAAAGTTTGAGCCGTCAGCTTCCTAAGAGTTCCAAGACACCATTCGAAACATCTCTCGCAAGAGCTTCAGCCTTTGGGCTGTGTAGAGGAGTTCGGCCAGATATGACAGTCTCGCATCTCCTCCCGGGCGAGCATAAGCACCAACGAGCAGGCAGTAAGTTATCGTCGTCCCTGACACTGTCTATTAGCCTTTCCTCGAGTAGCCACCGAGCAAGCATCAAGGATATATAGTTATCCCGGAAGCTTGCAACTTCTCCACGGAATTTGTGAACTTGCAAAGATGAGAGGACTCCTTCAGCTTGTATATCCACAACACCATGGTCTAAATTTTTCCATAGTCCTTGTTCTCTACGTTGAATCCACGACGCTGATAGAGCTTTAGTTTCTTCTCTCTTCCATTCTTTCTAAGAGCGAAGCTCTAAACGGTTCTATCAAAAAAAAAATCCCTCTTTTTCCAATCTCTCGAGCAATGCCGCATCAATTTCATATAGCGAAGCGTACCTCCCACCACGCCGCCCTCCTCCAAAACCCTACGTTCGTCATTCTTGGATCCATCGCCGTGGCGACATGAATGCACAGCTCAAGAACCCTAAAAGAACTTACAAATGATAGCTTAAATACATTCATGTTTGAGGAACCCTAGAAGCAGTGGGGCGATGGCGCTGTGTTTCTGACCGATTGTGAGGTGAGCTTTGGTGATTGTCTGATGCGCTGCGTGAATGGTGCTTGATTCTCCTGTATTTCTAGCTGGATTCGTCCATGGGATGCGCCAGTAGAGCCTCCAAATCAGGGTGTGGATTCTTTGCATTCTTGCCCGCTTTCTTCAATCCTTTGTCGCGGTTTTCTTACCATGGAGTCTCTCTTCCAGGCACTGTAAGCCTCCATTCCGATTGTTTGGTGGAAAGATCCATAGTGCTAGCGTGATTCCAAGGCATTCATCGGTATCAGCGGCTCCCGCGAGGAGCTTGAGGAATTCGATGGTGTCTGAAGTAGCTGTGGTGAAATCTCCTTCCGACAAGCGAGACTACGAGATCGTTCACTTGAGGAATGGCCTGTCGGCGCTCCTCATTCACGACTCGGAGATCAAACACTCGGTGGCGAGCGTCGAGAAAGCTCCTTTAGCGGCTTCCAGCGAAGAATCGGACTATGACGACGACGAAGACGACGAAGAAGATGACGAAGAAGAAGAGGAGGAGGAGGATATGGCTCGAGACGAGGTTCCAGAAGATGGAAAAAAGCGGGGTGGCATGGCTCAAGCGAAGAAGGTAAGTTACTCGTTTGTTTCCATTCTTTGAAATAGTCTTTGTGGTTTTCGAGTGTAGGCAGCTGCTGCTATGTGCGTGAGTGTGGGAAGTTTTTCCGATCCCAAAGATGCTGAAGGACTGGCGCACTTTCTCGGTGAATTTCTCTTCTCTTCTTCTTTTTGGTTTGTAATGACACAATGTGTTTTGGACAGAACACATGCTTTTTATGGGGAGCTCAAAGTTTCCAGATGAGAACGAGGTATTGTCTTTGTCTTCTGCTTCCTATTTGCCATGTAAAACTATATGGTTTCATTCAGTACGCTGGATTTTTGGCCGAACACGGTGGGTCTTCGAACGCGTTTACGGAGATGGAGTATACGTGTTACCATTTTGACGTGAATCACATGTATCTAAAGCCCGCTTTAGAGAGGTCGGAGCTACTTTTGATTTTATACCATCTTACGTTTTTTCCTTCTCAGATTCTCGCAATTCTTTATTTCTCCTCTGGTAAAAGGGGACTCGATTGAACGCGAAGTTCAAGCAGTCGACTCAGGTATGCGATTACTACAGGATTCTTTAGGATGCATTCGTCGTAAGTGACATGGTTGTCTTTGCCAGAGTTTGTGCAGGCTTTGCAAAATGATGGCTGCCGGTTGAATCAGCTGAAATGCCACACAGCTGATCTTCGACATCCCTATAACCGCTTTTCTTGGGGTATTCAATACATTTTAAAAGTCATAACGTGTATCGGTGGGATCTGCTTCAGGAAATGCCAAAAGCTTAGGCGAAGCTATAACAAAGTGTACTGACATTCGTCAAAAGCTCATCGAATTTTACAAGCAACATTATCTGGCAAATCGTATGAAGCTTGTTGTTCTTGGAGGAGGTGAGTGGTAAGCCCACGTTTGCGCCTTTTGTGACTTGTCCTTGATGCTTTTTGTGCCTGCAGAACCCTTGGCCACACTCAAGGAGTGGGTAACAGAATTGTTTGAAGACATTCCGGAAGGCAGCAGCAAGCCGCAACGTTTTTCCTGGAATGGGCCTGTTTGGCCTGCAGGGAAAATCTATCATGTGGAATCAGTTAAAGATCAGCATCGACTTATATTGAGCTGGGTCATGCCATGCTTGCACACCGAGTATCTGAAGAAACCTCATGACTACCTCTCTCATCTAATTGGACACGGTACGTTCATGGTTTTGATTGACAAAAGAGTTACTATTTGTTTTCTTCGTCGGTGCAGAGGGAAAGGGAAGCTTGCTGCAGTTTCTAAAAGCAAATGGCTGGGCCACAGATTTAGCTGCGGGTGTCAGCGAGGATGATTTTGAAAAGAGTACTGCTGGCTATCTTTTCTCAGTCTGTATTAACTTGACAGTCTCCGGCTTGGGCAAGGTAATTCATCTGATTCTCTTTGGATGTGTTAAATGACGCGTGAATGCAGATCCACGAAATTGTAGGAAAGTTTTTCGAGTTTGTTAAATTGCTTCGGGATAGTAAGCCTCAGGAGTGGATTTTTGAAGAGCTTCACGCAGTTTCGGCCATGGATTTTAGATTTGTGGAAGAAGAACCAGCAGATGATTACGTCTCCACTCTTGCAAGTAAGCAAATGCGGAACAGAAACATCCATAACAACGTGTTTTTGTTCGGGCAGAGAATATGCACCTATTTCCAGAGCACCATGTTATTTATGGTGATTATGCTCATGACCAGTGGGATCCCAAGCTGGCAGAAGAGCTTCTGAACTATTTGAGCCCCATGACGATGCGAGTTGATATTGTTACGAAATCATTCAACAAAGACGCACCAGGTATTTTTTTTCGTGTTCTTTAAGGCGTATGCTAACCAATTTATGAATCTAGATGTGGTGTTCGAGCCCTGGTTTGGAACACCTTACGTCGTGAACGAAGCACCGAAAGATCTACTCAACGGTTGGCTTAATCCACTGGCTGTAAACGATGCATTACACCTCCCGGCTGTCAATGAGTTTATATCTCGTGACTTTAGCATCAAGTCCGCTGATGACTCCAACGTGCTGCCCGTTGTTATCGCAGAGGACTCGTCAGTGAAGGTCTGGCACAAGCTGGATCGGACGTTTCAAACTCCTCGAGCGAATGTGTTTATGAAACTCTCTTGCCGAATGGACGGTCTGCGCTCCGAGGTGCTAACAAGCTTGTATACGTTGCTTCTAAAGGATGCTCTAAACGAGACCATATACATGGTACGTTTTTTATTTTTTTATTTTTTTCCAGTTGTGACAAGCTCGTCCATATTTTCGTTTTTTTAGGCAACTGTCGCTGGTTTGTCCTCTTCAGTGGTGGCAAACATACATAATATCGAGTTTAAGGTGCATGGCTACAATGAGAAGCTAGGCGTCCTTGCCCAGCAAATATGTCAACTATTGAAGGCGTTAGTACCCGCGAATGATCGTTTCGAGGTCAATACAAATTCGCGTTATAACTTTGAAACTCTAAGCTTTTTTGTTTTTCAGGTCGCCAAAGAGCAGTATGAACGACTCTGCCGAAATGCCAGAGTAAAGCCCATGACTCACTCAGCAGCTCTTAGAGTTCAAATCCTTAGAATGGGAAGCTGGAGCGAAGAGGAAAGGCTGGCGTATCTCTCAACATTGAGCGCTGAAGATGTCCGTAATTTCATTCCCCAGCTTTTCAGAGAGGTAAGAGTTTTATTTTCATGCTAGTTTATCCTATAGCTAGAATGAATTTCCATCAGGCACACGTGGAAGCTCTTTGCCATGGCAACCTTACGAAAGAAGAGGCGCTTGATATTGTGAATGTCGTGAAAAGTACGGTGGTGACTGTACCAATGCTAGAAGAAACGATGCCAAAGATAAGGATTGTGAAAATCCCTTCTCAGACCGACTTTGCGTATAATGTCCCGGTTGTGAACCCATTGGAAGAAAACTCTGTTGCTGAGGTACGCAAAATCTTGTCGGCTGGTGTTTTCTAAAGTGTTGGATTCGTGTTTTAGCTGTATTTTCAAATGGGATTGGATCTGGGAGCCGAGTCTGTCCGTGAACACGTTCTCGGTGATCTTTTTGAACATATGGTTTACGAGCCATTCTTCAACCAGCTGAGGTATGGTTTTCTTGACTCGCCGAAGTGCACGAACTCTTGACGCCGGTACTTGCAGGACGATTGAACAACTAGGATACAGAGTTGATTGCGGAACGCGTTACACCTATGGTGTATTGGGATTTTGCTTCCGGATTATGTCATCCAAGTACAGCCCCACGCACATCCACAAGCGAATTGAGGACTTCATCGATAAGCTGCAAAAGACTCTGGTAAGAACCATTCACTCTTGAGTGAGAGGCGGTCTCATCTTTCTTTGCTCAGGATGATATGTCGGAGGAAGTGTTTGATAACTACAAAAACTGCCTGATAGCAGAAAAGATGGAGAAAGACAAGTGCTTGAGTGACGAAACTGACCGCCACTGGGGGCACGTACTGGACCAAAGGTATAGATAATAGTCTCATTGTTTCCAACTGGTTGCTTACACAAGTTGAGATCGTCTTCTAGGTACTTGTTTGATGCTCATGAGAAAGAGGCAGTGGCCCTCAAGGACATCAAGAAAGAGGACGTGGTGGAGTGGTACAAGCAGCACATAAGAGCTGGCGGATCCATGCGGCGAAGCTTGTGCATCCACGTCTGGGGGTGTCAGTTCAAGGACGAGATGCAGAAGAACAAGAACAAGAGGAACAAGAGGACACCTTACAGGCTGATCGAGGATATAGACGAGTTTAAGAACAAGGCGGAGTTATATCCTCCATTTCCATGATCCAGGTACTGGAAAATTCTCAATTGCAAAACCAGTTTTTCCAAAGGAAAGCTCTCGTAAAGACGGTCATAGAGTTCTTGGAGGAGATCGAGCTTCGATGGCAGTATGGCCACGACGAGCGTTTTGTCACCGGCAGAGTTGGATCTCGTCCAGAGCTGCAAGACACTCCACCAGGCTCACGGCGTCAGCTCGTCAATTCTCTCTGGACCAAATGGAGACGCCACCTACACTCGCAACACTCTCCTCCAGATGTACGCCAAGCTCGGCAGCGTCCACCACGCCCGCTCCATCTTCGACTCCATCGCTAGAAGAGATGACTACTCTTGGGTCATGATGCTCACGGCCTATGCCCAAAACGGGCATCTCACCCTCGCAAGGAGCGTCTTTGACGCCATGCCCGAGAGAAACATCGCTGCGTGGAACGCGATGCTGGCAGCCTATGCCCAGAATGGTCGTCTCGAGGAAGCAAAAGTTGTTTTCTCCGAGATGCCTGTTTGGAACGTCGTCTCGTGGACGACTATGGTGACTGCAAATGCCCAGAACGGGTATGTTCTTGAGGCAAAGATCCTCTTTGAGAAGATGCCAGAGACCAACTTGGTCTCCTGCAACGCTCTCCACTCGGCATTCGCTCGGAATGGTTTCGTGAGAGAAGCGAAAGAGGTGTTTGATTCAATGCCGGCGAGGAACGTCTTGTCATGGACGAGCATGCTGACTGCCTATTCTCAAAAGCGGCATATCGACCAGGCAATGGAGTTTTTCCGCGAGATGCCAGAGACCAACGTCGTTTCTTGGAACACAGTGCTGGGGGCTCTCTCGCAGTCCTCTCGAGCGGGCGAAGCAAAGAGAGTGCTTGCAAGAATGCCAGAGACCGACTTGATATCCTGGAACGCAGTTCTGGGAGCAGTGTCCGGGAACATCACCGAGGCAGTGGAGCTCTTCGACAGAATGCCGGAGAGAAACACTGCCTCCTTCAACACGATGATCACAGCTTACGCTCAACACGGTCGGCTCGAAGACGCGAGGAGGATTTTTGAGGTGCTTCCCGAGAGAGACATGGTTTCGTGGAATGGGATGCTCACAGCGTACGCACAGAACGGTCACGTGGCGCAAGCTGCGAGGATTTTCTTCCATGCAATGCCAAAGCACGACATGGTGTCCGGGAACATTCTCCTGGCAGCTTACGGCCAGGCCGGGCGTGTGCAAGAGGCAAAGAGCGTCTTTGATGGCATGATGGAGCACAATCTAGTGGCCTGGAATGGAATGCTCATCGCTTACGCCGCGAAAGCTCGAGTGGAGGACGCAAAACTGGTTTTTGATGCGATGCCGGACAGTGATATCGTCTCCTGGAATGTGATGCTCGGCTTGTATGCTCAGGCCGGGCATTTGGAGGAGTCGCAGTGCCTGTTTGAAGTGATGAAGGAGAGAAACGTCGTGTCGTGGACGAGCATGGTGGCAGCGTACGCTCAAAACAGGCAGCTCCAGCAAGCTCGGAGCTTGTTCTTCGAAATGCCCGAGTGGAACGTCGTGACTTGGACGGCCATGCTCGTCGCCTACGCTCGAGACGGTCACCTGGAGGAGGCAAAGTTCGTGTTTGATAGCATGCCAGAAAGGGACCAAGTTGCGTGGAACGCTTTGCTCGAGGCCTATGCCGAAGCTGGTCACTTGGATCACGCGAAGAACTTGTTCGATCAAATGCCGGATAGGAATCTCGTCTCCTGGACCGCGATGCTCGCAGCGCATGCTCAAGATGGTCTTCTCCTAGAAGCTGAATTGCTCCATCACTCGATGCCACAGCGAGACTCGGCCACTTGGAACGTAATGCTCGACGGCCAAGAGGGTCTTCTCGATCGAGCAAACTCTTCGATAGACGCACTCGAAGTTTTCCAGCTCGTGAAGATCGAAGGCATGGAACCGGACGAGATTTCCTTCCGGTGTATACTTTTGGGATGCAGCCACACGGGGGATGTAGGCGCCGCCAGATCTTGCTTTGCTTCGCTCGTCTCGGACCACTCCATGAAACCATCCAAGGAGCTCTACACTTGCATCGTGGATATCTTGTGCCGGGCAGCATACTTGGAGGACGCTCATGAGCTTCTCAACACCATGCCTTTCATGCCTCAAGCAATGGACTGGCAGTGCTTGCTTCGGGCTACACGAAGCCGTGACTTTGCCACTGGTGTGAGTGATTCCGATCAAGCAGCCAAAAGAGCTCTGGATTTAAATTCGAAAGCCTCCGCGCCGTATGTATTATTAGCAAATTTGTATTCTAGAACCATTCAAAACTAAGGAATATACTTAGATCCTTATTGACTCACTGTTGTCTGCTCTTAGATGTTCATTATATTTCCTTGAAAGAGTTTTCATTTGATTGACGATCATAGGATAGCTTTGTGTTTGTGTGACAATGGCAGGAAAAATGGTGCTCATTCTTGTCGCAATCGCTGTTGTGGGATCGATGATCACGGCCAATGCAAGCTTCTTCGATGCTTGGGCAGGGCCTGGGTGTAACAATCGGCTGGAGCGCTACCGCGCTTGTGGATGCAACAATGTTGGAGCCTCGCAGCACGGCGGCTACAGCTTTGCGTACCAGGGCCAGACTGCTGCGGCCTACAACACGGCAAACTGCCGAGGTGTGGCACACACACGGTTTAGTAGCTCTGTGCAGGACTGCTCGGGCTTTGGATGGAGAAGCATCTTCATCCAGTGCTAAAGGGCTCCATGGCTCAAATCAAATTGCCAAATAAAAGAGAAAAATCTTCCATGTAATACTACATTGCAGCTCTTTAGTCCAAGGTTGCTCATGGAAGAGTAATTACTTCCAACGGCTTGGTTTTAATTTATTTAAATATCATGAAATTCTTTAGATTTATCTGTGTATCCCTAAATATAAAGAATTCACGTATTGTGTGCCAGAACATTTTACAAGAAAATGTTTGATAATGGTATAAACGTACTATGTTCCTACCTCATTTACATTTAGGTGAAATTAATTTTATTGAAGACTATGAAATTCTTGTTTTTCATGGTGCTGCACAATTTGCAACGCTGGAAAGGTAGGCAAAATTGGGCTTTTAGAGGTTGTTTCTCTCATGAATTAAATCCTGATAGTGTTGAATTTTGTTGAAATTAAATATTATCACTGGTTTTCTAAATAATTTGGTTCATAAAAGGTTTTGAGTGCGAGACAATGTTTGCAAGCATTACATAAGGTGCCGGATGGTTTGGATCTGACTCAAGAGCCAACTTTGCCATGAGAGGTGCTCCTTTCGGACTCATCTGGCTGAAACTGAGCAAGCTCTGCCAGTTGATGACGTCGTTCACAAACGGCATGCTCTTGACAAGCTCCTGTGCGTTGCTTACATCGCCAGATCGAGCGAAAACGTCGGCCAAGCAGCCATAGATAACCTTGGATGGTTTCATGCCGAAGTCCCCCCTCAGCGACCAAACCAAGTCCCGGGCCACCAAAACACTTCCGGCGTAGTTGCATCCCAGCACAATGCACAGGAAAGTGGTCTCGTTTGGTTCCATGCCCGCCATCTCCATTCTCTGGAAGAGCTTGACGACGTTCCCCAGGCCTCCTCGCTGGGAGAGAGTTGCAAGCATCGAATTCCAAGACACCACATTTGTCTCCGGCATCTCGTCCAACAACACTTTCAAGGCCCCGTCCAAAAGCCCATTCCTTGCGAAGGCCCACAGCATCACATTCCAGGAGACAACGTCCTTTTGGATCATCCGGAAGAAGAAATCTTTGGCATCGGTAAGAGGCCCATTCTCGGCATAGCCGGACAAGAGAGTGTTCAACGAAACCATGTCCCAAGCTGGCATTTCATCAAAGAGCAATTTTGAGTCATCGACAAGCCCGTTTTGGGCGTAAGCACCGAGCATGGCGTTCCATGAAACCAAGTTTCTCTTGATCATCACGTCAAACAAGCTCTTGCATTCCTCGACTCGGCCACTCCGAGCGTACGCCGTGAGCATCGTGTTGCTGGACACCAGATTTGTTTCTTTCATCTCGTCAAAAAGTTTCTTTGCCTCGTTTGTATTATCGACTCGTGCATATCCATCAAGCATGATGTTCCAAGCTACGGCATCCCAAACCGGCATCTTGTCAAACAAGGCTTTTGCTTTGGGGATTTGCCCGTTTTGAGCGTAGGCCGCCACCATGGCCGTCCACGAAACAATGCTTTGCTGTGGCATCTTATCAAACAAGGATTTTGCCTCGTCAACTTTTCCACTGCTCGCAAACGCATGTAACATTCCAGCACACGAGACAAGGCTGTGCTCAGGCATGAAATCATAAAGAGCCTTCGCCTTCGCAAAATCACCGCTTTGGACAAATGCTGTAAGCATAGCGTTCCAAGAAACCGTGTCTTTCTCCTCAATGGAATTAAACAGGTAGAAAGCTTTGTCGATCTCACCGCTGGAAGCGTAAACATCTAGCATAATCGTGTAAGCCGCCAGAGATTTCTCAGGCATAGAATCAAAAACTCGTTTTGCATCTTCAAAATGCCCACTTGCGGCATACGCTGTTAACATTCTTAACCACGATGAAGCATTCCATTCGGGCATGGCAGCACAGCTATCCGCCACCTTTCTAAACTCCTTTGACTGCCCATAAACGACTATAAGGGCGTTCCACGAGAAAATGTCCCATGCAGGCATAGAATCAAAGAGCTTCTTCGATTCTACAACATGACCACTCTGGGCATATGCAGTAACGATCGTGTTCCACGACACTAAATCCCTTTCGAGCATTGAATCGAACATTTTCTTGCCATTTTGGAGATGCCCAGCGCGGGCATAAAGCCCCAGCATTGTGTTCCATGAAACAACGTTGGTCTCCGCAAATTCCTCGAGGAAGAACTTGCGAGCTTGCGACACCATTTTCTTGTGAGCGTAGGCAGCGAGCATGGCATTGCAGGAGCTCACATTCCTGGCGGGCATTCGATCGAAAAGCTCTCTGGCCTCGGTGACGCGGCCATTGCGAGCGTAGAACGAAAGCATCGACACCCATGCCGACTGATCCAAACTTCCCTTGCTGGAGAGAAGATGGTCGAAGATCGCGCGAGCTTCTTCCACGCTACCACACCGGCGGATATCAAGAACAGCCAGCTTCTATCAAAATGTGTAGGGTCTTATCAAAATCTCAAGAAGAAAACGAGAAGAAGCATCATAGCTCTATCAAAGATAAGCGCGAGAAGAAAACCAAAAAGCTAGAGACAATACTTACAGGAGAGGAAAACCGCTGCGTGCTCTCGATCTTCTTTCACTGCTGGCGGGGTCTCGCACGACCGATAAGGCGGCATTGATACGGTAGCAACGCTGCTGATATCGGACTGTTTAGCTCCAGGAGCTCGCCATCGATCCCACAACCTTGAAGATCATTTCCTGCGGTTTTTAGTATAGCTTGGCGCACCTGTTTGTTGCGAAGTATTAGCGAAGTAGCGAAAGCAAAAAAAGATTTTGATGCCGGAGCGAGCGAGCTTACCTTGATGTACTCGACGAATGGTAGTTTCAAGTGACGGTTGAACTGCATCGACCAGAAGAAACGCAGGAGTTGCAACCGGCCCACTGCTCGCACGATGATCAAGTCGAGGTTCCCGTCGTCGTGCTCCGCCCCGGGAGCAAGAACTTGAGATGGTAGGCACTGCACCGTCTTGCACTGATGGTTGCACAGCATAATTCCCAGAAAATATCCCTGCCTGTGCTCCCACTTTGGCACCACGCTGTCACTGGACGGTGGGAAGCTATCCGACTCGGAGCTGAATCTGGAGTCGACAGGACTGTCCCATTTCGGTCCCGGACTGCTGTCCCATTTCGGTGCTGCACTGTCCCACTTCGGTGCTGGACTGTCCCACTTCGGTGCCGGACTGTCCCACTTCGGTGCCGACGACACGTTTTCTGCTTCCCCGTTGGAAGAGATCACAGAGTTGGCACGCGAAACTCTGGCCGACTCGCCGTCCACGCTCAGCCCCGACCAGCTTTTCTCGGACCTCGACTTGGACCTCGTCCGTGGCCTCGGAGACGGACTAGTTGTTCCGTGGTGGACGGAAAGAGCCTCCTCGGTGCAGCAACCGGGAAAGGAAGCTCGAGTCGAGAGTTGCTTCTTTGTCTTCCCGTCGAGGCCTCTGACGTAGTCGGATGGCTCGTTTGTAGCATCGTGATCATTCTCCGTCGAAGTGCTTCTTGAAAAGATGGCCTCGATGGTCCCTGCCTCGAGGTCTCCATGTCTGTCGACTTCCAGACGAACGTTCGGGCCGCTGGCTTCGTCTTTCTTGGTGTCGACTGGGACGAAATCTATTTCACACTTGTACTGCGGCAAACGGAGTAGCTTCAGAGCACCTGCTACGAAGTACCGCAATGGTCCAAACCTTTTCTGGTATTTACCAGAAAGCTCCAAGACTGCAATTCACTTAAATCAAATCCTGTGGTAGCAAAAGGAAAATGAGATACCCACCATCACTCATAAATCCATAATATGCAATTGTAAAGCCAAGATGAACAGCACCAGTTTTAGTCCATTCCACGCCAAGAACATCCATACCCACCATGCCTCCCTAAAACTCAAAAGACGAAAATGAGAAAGTCTAGCCTTGACTCCAAAATAGCAGAACAAAAGAATACTACCTTCACGATTGCAACAGCAGCGGAGACGGGATCGCGAATACCTAAGACGGTCCATACCAACGAGTTATCAGAGCCGGCCGGGATAATGCCAATGGGAACCTCCGATGCTCTGTGTGGATTATCTCTGCTAAGTAAGCCGTTCAGCACCTACACAAAAACAGAAAGCAAGCAACGACGTCTTTAAGACCGTGTTTCCCGATGAGTGAATTACCTCGTTCACAATCCCGTCGCCACCAACACAAATAATTCCTAAAAGACACAAGTCAGTTGCAAAGTGAACAAATGGTACGCTAGAAAACGCGTGACTTACCATCTGGACAAGTAGAGAGATCGACAGTAGATGCCAGTGTTTGAGCGTGACGGGCATCCGTGGTCTCGACAATTGTAAGTCTAAAACCAGCCAGCTGTAAGAAAGATGCACTGTGTCCGTGAGTAAATGCAAAGTGAATGCTCAAAGTACTTGCCTTCAGGACTGGCTCCGCCTTACTGAACACCTTGCGAGCACGACCACGACCGGAGCGAGGATTCAGAATGACAAGCACCGTAGGACGGGACCGGCACCTGATCGAGGGGGACGGAGAGGATCCCGCATCGACAACAGTGCTCTTCTTCTTCGAGGATGCGAGCGGGTGCCTCAAAAAGTTGATGTGGCAACCTTGGTCGGCGAAGGCAGAGACCCACTGCAAAACCTCTTCGGCATCAGGAGCTAGGAAATGTAGATCTTTCCGAGACCTCCGCGAGCTCGAGATCCATTTCTCTTTCGTGACTTGATACGAGTGGATTGTAAAGCGTCGACTTCCGTCGCTGTAAGAAACCTGGCAAGTTACACGAATGAGCAACCAAGCGAAGAAAGGAAAGAAGAAAGAAGAAAGAACTTACAGCGACAACGTCTTCGAGCCTCAAACAGTGAAGACCCCAGATGAGTGCCTTGGTAGTGAGCTTGGCGTGGACCTCCACAGTAGCCATGTTTATGTTATCTTGCGTGCCAGTGCCTGGAGGAGCCACCATACCCGTCATGACAATCTCCCCCAGCAAATCCAAGTCCTCATCCTTGATATTTATTTTGTGGTCGCCAGGTACCTCTCTCTCGGCTTTCTTCGAGCGCCTGGCACTTCCAGAGAGCCCCCATTTGCTCTTCTTGGACGATGGTGGAGGGGGCAAAGCCTGCGGCGGCGCCTCCTGGTCGCCCGGCTGAGAATTCTCCGTCTTCTTCGCTAGAACGCGTAGAGGATTGATCGAGCCCCGCATCTCTGCCCAATTCCCACGGCTCACAGCGCCGATCGTAGTACCATCCCCTGGAAATTTAGAGGGCCGAATTAGCGGCGCGAGAGAGAAGGGGGAAAAGACCTAGGAAATGCGCGACAATCAAGGATCTGGAGGAGAGAGAATGCGCCTGGCTACAGTGAGGAAGAGCTGCATTCCAGCTAGAGGACGAGAGAGAGTGCCGTGAGCACGATGATCTTCTCGGAATTTCGTACAGCGCCTACGATCTAATCCCCAAATCACACTGTTTGGATCGTGAGCTTACCTGTTGGCGCCGCCGTCGCGCTGCTACAGTGTTCTTCGCTCCTCCTCCTCTTCCTTGCCTGACCCGCTGCTGGGCATGGTCTGTGACATCAGCAAATGCCCTAGAAGGTGGAGCATATTCTACTAGATACTTTTTTACGAGATGCGGATCTCAAACCTGGAATAAATTGTGGCCCTAAAATTACGCTCTCGGGGTATATGCGAATTTGAAGTAGAGAATATTTCGGGCCAGGTTTAGGGTTTTCTAGCGAGAGATGGATTCGATGATCGGCAGCTGCGCCTTCGCTGCCACGGCCCCTAGGTTTGCATCCGGGAAGACGCCCGCGCTAGGGTTTGCCGATTTCACCCGAAATGCGGCTCCGTCGTTGCTGGGATCAAGAACTCCACGGAATGGAGCACTCTCAGCGCGCACAGGGAAGAGATTTCTCCCAATCAGGGCTACGGCAGTGAAGGAGGCCAGGAATCGCGATCCGCCAGCGGCGGTAAGTCCAGATTGTCGCAAAGTCATGGTGATTGGGGGCGATGGCTACTGCGGCTGGGCGACAGCATTGCATCTTTCCAAGCAGGGCTACGAGGTTGCAATCGTGGACAGCCTTGTGAGGAGGCTCTTTGACGAGCAGCTCGGCACTTACACTCTCACGCCCATAGCTTCGATCCAGGAGAGACTAAAAAAGTGGAAAGAGAAATCCGGCAAGACGATTGATCTCTTTGTCGGTGATATCTGCGAGTTCCAGTTCCTGGAGAGCTGCTTCAAGTCTTTCGAGCCCAATGCAGTGGTACACTTTGGCGAGCAAAGATCGGCACCGTATTCCATGATCGATCGTTCTCGAGCGGTGTACACGCAACACAACAACATCGTTGGAACGATCAACGTCCTGTTCGCGATTAAAGAATTTTCTCCGGAGTGTCACCTAGTGAAGTTGGGAACGATGGGAGAGTATGGAACTCCAAACATCGATATCGAGGAGGGATTTATCACCATCACGCACAATGGAAGGACCGACACTCTACCATATCCCAAGCAGGCAAGCTCGTTCTATCATCTCAGCAAGGTTCACGACTCCCACAACATTGCTTTTACTTGCAAAGCTTGGGGAGTGAGAGCCACAGATCTAAACCAAGGAGTAGTCTATGGAACCTTCACTCCAGAGACGCAGGAAGACGAAGCTCTGATCAACAGGCTCGACTACGACGGCATCTTTGGCACTGCTCTAAACAGGTTTTGCGTCCAGGCAGCCATCGGGCATCCATTGACAGTTTATGGGAAAGGAGGACAGGCAAGAACTCTCGAGTTTTCTGTTCGATGGAAGGCTAACTCTTTTCTGATCTAGACTCGAGGGTACCTGGATATCAGGGATACAGTCCGGTGTGTGGAGCTCGCCATCGCCAACCCAGCAAAACTGGGTGAGTTTCGAGTTTTCAATCAGTTCACTGAGCAGTTTTCCGTGAACGAGCTTGCCAAGCTCGTCACAAAGGCCGGCGAGAAGCTGGGGATTGAGGTGAAGACGCAGAGCGTTCCAAATCCTCGAGTAGAAGCGGAAGAACACTACTATAACGCCAAGCACACCAAGCTGATGGAGCTGGGCCTGGAGCCGCATTTCCTCTCCGAGGGGCTTCTCGATTCGCTCCTCAATGTGGCGATCAAATACGCTGCTCGCATCAACACGTCTTTGATCATGCCCGACGTCTCCTGGAAGAAGATTGGAGTCACGCCCAGAACGCTAGTCTCCAAGCAGCCTTGATGATCCTTTTTGTTCTTCTTTTAACTTCGGAAAGTATGCCCCGAATATTCGTTGTTTGCGAATATGCTAATAAATATTCTAAAATATTTTGCAAAGAGCTCTTCCCGCGCGCCATAGCTAGGGTTTTAGGGGACTCATCGATGGGAGCGGCGTGAAGGAGGCGATGAGGTGCAATGCGTGCTGGAAGGAGCTGGAAGGGCGCGCCGTAGCCACTGTCTGCGGCCACATTTTCTGTAAGCGCGCGCGCTGGCGCCAATCGATGGATCCCTGGGATTTCGTCTGTCACTGATCGCGATGCTTGCTTCTCGCCAGGCAACGAGGATGCCGCCAAGATTCTCACTTGCGACTCAACATGTCCTCTGTGCGAGCAGATCTTGTCCAAGAGGTATGATCCACCAAAATATTTCTCCCCCATTGCAATCACCGCCATTTCAGCAACATGAAGTCCCTCGACTTGAATCCAAACGACGACTGGACTAATGTAAGTCGATCTGTGCCTGGCAATCGTCTAAGATCCAAGGTTTCGTGCAGATGATCATGGCCGGAGTACCGCCTCACTGCAGTATCCTTTCTCAAAGTTGTACTTTTCTAGTGTATTGTTTTTTTTCTTTTTGTAAGCTAGCTAGCCAGGCGGCCTTAACTCTGCAAAGTCATGAAGAGCGCGTTCAAGGGTGTCATCTTCTGGATCGGGCAGAAAGACGTGGAATCGCAGCTCACAGTGAATCGGGCAACGCAATGGAAGCAGAAGTGCAAAGAAATGGAAGCGACCTTTATGCAGAAGATGTCCGAGTTCCAGGGAGCTTACCAAAAGGCCGTCAAGAGAGTCCAGGCGCTGGAAGCCGAGCGAGACAGCCTGCTCAAAGACAAGAGCGAACTGGAGGAGAAGTACTCGGAAAAGTCACGGTAAGCTAAACTCATGAGTTCCTGGTTGTTTTTTAATTCTGGGGAATGACTTACAGGCAGAAGAGGAAGCTGGAGGAAATGTACGACTCTCTTCGTACCGAATACGAGAAAACGAAGATGAATGCTTCACGGCCGCCTCCAGCACGTATGGGAAGTCCGAACGGGATAGCCGACTCTGATCTCTGGCAGTCGAGGCCTGCTCAAAAAGCCGGGGCATTCCACCATCAATCGCTGCTTCCTCCGACGAGAAGACCGGCACCAGCTCCTGCTCCAATGCTAACGAACAGGCAGCGTCAGACCTCTCCATTCAAGTCGGCGGACTCGGACATGTTTGCGCCACCGCCACCTGCCAGGAACACCTCGAATGCGCTGCGAAATCTGCTGCTCTCGCCACTCAAGAGGCCAATATCGAGACTTGGAGCACCCGGACTGAGGTACCCAAAGTTTAAGCTTGAGTGCGCGTGAGTGACACCTTCTCTTCTTTAAAAAAAAAATTGTGCTTGCAGCTCTTGAGCTGGACGGAGGAGGCGCGATCGAATCAAAAAGCTCAAATTCTACTTCGTGTAAGCACGTCATTTGTTTCTGTACAGTTCTTTTTTCTCGCGTTTAAATTGTCAGCTGACAGCGACTTTGAGAGGTTTTTGGACTAATTTAGGGCAGACGGTTTGAGGCCAGTCTCACAAGATAGTCTTTGTGAGACGCTACTTCAACCGTGTCTGCATTCGCGATATTCGCATCGAGTAGATGCGAATCGCGTCCCCGCCGGGGTCGGTGACAGCTCCGCCTTGGCAACGTGAGCAACCCTGCAAGGTGTTTGGTTGTTCGTCGTTTTCATTTCACAGGACGGACTCCCAGCTCTCCGTTTTGGTACACTCAACTAATCAACCGACGGCTCAAGCAATCGTTGGCGGCGTTGTATCCGAGGTAAGGAACTTGTTTTTTTTAATGCTTCCTCAACCTGAAATTGCAGGCTGCTGGGGCTTCTTCATCTCGGAGTTCCAAGAAGATGCCGACAACTGCTGGAGGCGGCACTCCATTCTTTCCTCGGAGGTGGATATTGTTTGCCTATCTCGTTCTGGGAGTGAATGCTGCGGTCTACCTCCGGCCGGCTGCTCGGCCTCTTCTCAATCTCGTTGATCAGAATGGTCTCGAAAATGAAATCGAGCAGGTACGCGAAAGAGGTCTTTCTTTCTTTCGTTGTCTCACTGATTCATAACAGGTGCGTGTCTCGTTAGCAGGAGCGAACCACATGAGAGTAAGCTGGATTTCATCGAGCTCCAATTCTCCCTCTAGTGTGCAATACGGAACATCACCCGGCAAGTACGAGTCAAGTGCTACTGGATCCAAACTCAATTATGGGTTCTTGCTCTACAAATCCGGCACGATTCACGGTGCAGTTCTTGGTCCTTTGGAAAACAATACTGTCTACTACTACAAATGTGGAGGAATGGGGAAGGAATTCAGTTTCAAGACACCGCCGGCTAACTTGCCCGTAACGTTCGCCGTAGTCGGTTCGTTTCCAACGTTTGGTTCTTGCGTGTGCTTGACCCGTTTCCTTTTTTCTCGAGCAGGAGACATTGGACAAACGGGATGGACAGTTACTACTCTAGAACACGTACAGAAAAGCAGCTACGATGTGCTATTGTTTGCTGGAGACTTGTCGTACGCGGATTATTACCAGCCACGGTGGGATTCTTTCGGCAGGCTTGTGGAACCCTCGGCAAGCTCGAGGCCCTGGATGGTGACGGAAGGAAACCACGAGATTGAAAGGATTCCTCTCATCAGTTCGTTTAGAGCTTACAACACTCGCTGGAGAATGCCTTACGAAGAGAGCGGGTCTGATTCGAATCTCTACTATTCGTTCGACGTTGCTGGAGCTCACGTGCTGATGCTGGGATCATATGCCGACTTCGGACAACGCTCGCCTCAGTATAAGTGGCTACAGGTACTTTTCTTCTCTATTTTTTTTTTCGCAGCTTAGCTTTTGGATGACGTGATCGTACCTCAGGCAGATCTTGCAAAGATTGATCGCAAAAGAACCCCTTGGCTCATTGCTGTTCTACATGCTCCGTGGTACAACAGCAACGAGGCGCACCGAAACGAAGGCGACGACATGATGAAAGCGATGGAGCCTCTTCTGCAAGCAGCAGGGACGGACCTTTTATTCGCAGGCCATGTCCATGCATACGAACGATGGGTACTGCTCTCGAGAATCTTTGCTTTCTACTTTACTAGGTTCTCCTCGCAGGACCGGATGTTCCAAGGAAAGAAAGACGACTGCGGCATTGTTCACATAACAATTGGAGATGGTGGCAACCGTGAAGGCCTCGCAACCAAGTAAGCTCTTCGTTGATTTCCTTTCTCTTTGCCACTAACACAGGTTTCTTCCAGGTTCCTTGATCCCAAGCCTGAGAATTCTCTCTTTCGTGAAGCCAGCTTTGGACACGGCCAGTTCAAGCTCGTGAATTCCACTCACGCTCACTGGAGCTGGCACAGGAATGACGACGATCAAGCAAAAATCGCGGACGAGCTGTGGATCCAATCCTTGAGCTCAACCGGATGCTCTCTGCCCAGCAAAAAGATGCGATGATAGCCATGTAGAAACCTTTGTCATGTAGAAAACTCTTTAATATGATTAACATGATTCTTTTAGCATCTAGTTTGAATTGTTAGGGTTTTAGGGATAGGCGGGAGGCCATGGCCGCTTGCCGCTGGCGCTCCGCGGCGCTCCAATCTCCTGGAGCTGGACATGGATCGGAGGTTCCGCCGGAAGAGCTCCTGGCAAGGATTCAAGGTCAGCGCCTCCCGCATTCTGTCGTATGCATCGAAATTCTGGCATTCTTGCAGATTTTATCAAGGAGTTTCTTTCTCATATCAAGGATCGATCGATCCTGGTGATCAGTCTGGATAAATTTCGGATGCGCAGGCTTCGCTCTTCCGAGGACACGAATCTGTGAGCAAGTTTTGTTTGAAAGGTTTCTCATTCTTGCTTGCTGTGCTGCTTGTTTGCGCAGCGGGATATTTGAAAGATGTGAGGCGCAAGAAAGGCTCTCACTCCAAACAAGTGGTCGTAGAATCCGTAAGTACTATTATGTCTCTTCACAGCTTGTGACTGATCTATCGTTTCGAAGTTTTTTCCTAGTCGCTATGCTCAGGGTCCTTCAAATTGTCCAATCGCTACTCCAGCAGGGAAAGCATGCATCGAAACGAGACCTCTACTACACCGATCCTGGTCTATTCAAAGGTACGCATGCTCTCTACATGCTTTTTATCCTAAAGGTGGTTTTGTTATAACAGATCAAGCAACCGTGAACCAAGCTTTGACTGACATTTCCGTCAGGCTCAAGTGTACTAGATCTTCTCTTCACGTAGTAAGCTTTACCTGTTGATTGAATTTACCATCTGACAAGTCTGTCTTTCAGGTTTCTGTCGGCAAAGGGTACGTTCTCGCTACGTTGTGGAAGACTGGCGTCTTAGAGTTGATGCTCTTGCAGTTTAATCATGGGATCGCTGCGATTCAAGGATGCTGACAGGACAATTGACTGCTCGGTTTGCAAGTCGCGCGTAAGGCTAGTCTGTTTATTGACACAGTTGATACCCTTGACTTTGTTCATTCAGGGCTACCCCATTCCCACAGATGCGAAGATGGTAACGGGTATCTCAGTCTTGCGATGATGAGTCCTGTTTTTAATATTCTTTTCCTTTCTTCTTCACCACAAAAGACATCCGCAGTTGTGCAGAATACATTATCGTAGTCGAAAAGGAAACCGGTAAATAATCTTCTGTCTGCCTCTTTCGTAACATCTTTCTTCTCAGTCTTTCAGCGACTGGCAAATGATGGATTTTGCAGGAAGAACAACTGTATAGTACTAACTGTAAGTTCTTCACACTTTTTCTACCTTGATCATAGATTCTTACGCACATGTACAGGGGAGAGGGTACCCCGACGTGGCCACGAGGAGGTAACAAGATTGTTTTTGACACCGCGTTCGTAACTTCGGTTTTGTTTTCAGTTTCTTAAGGCTTCTGGCAGCTGAAACAAATTTGCCCGTTTATGGATTGGTGGATGCCGATCCGTATGGCCTGGACATCCTTGCTACATACCGCTTCGGCTCGCTGGTGAGCGTTGTTTAATTGTCAAATTCTCAAGCAAATCCCGGCTTCCCCTTCAGACCATGGCTTACGATGCTGAAGCTCTTGCTACACCAAGCATTCGATGGCTAGGAGTTTTCCTTTCTGATTGCCAAACGCATAATGTCCCGGATAGGTGCCTCCTTCCCCTGACAAACGACGGTAAGATCCGGCGCGTCATTTTCTTAAACATAACTCTGTGATTGACAGATAGAAGAAAAGCCGAAGCGATGCTCAACAGAGACTACTTGGAGCACTTGGCATTCTCTTGGAAGTAATTTCAACCTGTGACTCTGTGCTAAATTTCTGTGGAGTTTTGCAGCCAGCAGTTGCGGCTGATGCTGGAGAAAGGTGTCAAACTCGAGCTGGAGGCACTGTCGGCTTCTAAATTTTCCGCGCTCGCGGACGACTACATTCCGCATAAGATCAAGGCGGCAGCATATTTGTGCTAGTATCCTTCTCGGACAGCAAACCGGTGCGTCATCCAATCAACACATTCAAAGGGAGCATCGCATTATTACAGAGCACCTCGACGGGAATAATCTCTCTTGATCCCGCCTGCAACATATATGTGCTTCTTACATGGTATTTTGTTTCACTGCAAAGCTTATGTTATGCATGCGAATCTCACACTCTGTGCTAGTCTCACTTCTGTCGCATCACAGAGTGACACATTCGATCGAACTATGGTTGAAGTGCCAAGACAATCGGGCAGACTGAACAAAATTCCAGCTTGCCCCGAGTATGTGAAGCGATAGTAGAGTGGAGTGGCCACACGTATAGAGGGGCAAGGATTGAGCTTGGACGTGTAGCTCGTTCCAGGGTCTTGGCAACCCGGGAGGTCGTAAACATCGAGCCTGCTGTTTGCATCAACTTGAGTGATTAAGATTGTGATCACCGCCAGGACTGCTGCCATGATCTTCAAGAGATTGAGTGCCTGATCAAACAAGAGCAAAGGAGTCGTTAATAGGTGTAATACGATGCAAAGTGTGCAGCCAAACCATTTCTCCAAGGACAGATTGTAGTTGAAGAACTAACCTTGTTCTTGTTTTATAGGAGTTTGAAGTGCTCGTGGGTCACGAGGATTAGTTTCTCGATTATAATTTATAGAAATTGGATGTGTGATCATGGTTTAGTTCATGCAGTGCAAGTTCTAATGAAATTAGCGGTAGCAGTTTCGTACTATGAATATATTAACATTACAGTAATTGGTAGTAAAAATGGATTATAAATATTATGGGGTAATAAAATTTTACTACCACAAAATTCACTAAGTGTAACACACACACTCTGGAAAACATCCTTTGCAACATAAAAAATGTGGTAGATTACAATCTTAAGAGAGTGTGTGAGTAACATCATAGCTTTCCTGGCCAAACAGCCGAACGAGTGTGTTGCACAATCACCCAACTAGATCATGACCATGCATCTATAAATTATAATCATCCTCGTGACCCATGAGCACTTCAGCCTCCTATAAAAGGAGAACACTAGTTCCTCAACTCCTCAGCCTATCATTCAAAGCTTTCAAGAAGTGTGTTACCAAGAAGCAATGGTTCATAGAAGTGTTTCATTAAGTCATCCATATTGTCAAGCTAATCTTTTCGTTTTGTTATGCACAGGAAGTTCCTCTTTGCAAGTTCATGCTGCTGCTGTCTCTGATCATCACCCTAGTCATATGTATCGAAGGAAACAGTAACATCTAACTTTATCCCAGGCCAAAAGAAATACCTCTTCATCAACATATATGTTCTTAGTACCTTCAGCTTGATTTTAGGATGTAAAATTTTTAAAATAATGTATTACTAATTTCAATATACCAATTAATTGTCATGGGTCTCTAGACAAGTAAATTATTAAAAGAAGTTCTTAATTATGTTGAAATGCATTTGCATTTCCACTTTGACTCCTATTTAAAAGATTGTTCTCATAATTCTGGGGTTATTATTTCTGGCCATGGAACATCTTCTTCAACTACTTCCTTAACAATGATGTAGCTATAATAATTATAAGGAGTGATGTTGCACCAACTTTTATAGCGACTAATAATACTTATTTCTTAAGCATTGAGGTGAAGAATTGTTATATCTACTTAATATGATAACATTCTATATTCTTGGGTCTCCTTGAGATTGAACCACCAACAAGCTGAGTAAGTAGGTTGTATGCTACTCTCATGTTTATTTACTCTATATCTTAAAATCCATGTAAAATTGATTTCAAATTATAGATTCTATGTAAAAATTGTTATAAATTAATATATATTTATCAAAGAAAAGTTCAAAGTGAGAACATATCATTTGCCCTCTATGGGAAAATTCTAAAGTAGTCCTTGTTTTTAAGGCATTTGCCTTCCAAATTAATGTTAAAATTTAAATCCTCCTAGAACAGAGAGCTTGCAATTATCAATGACATAATTGAATGCCATATGAACATAAATAATTGTCCCAAATTAGTAAGCTAGAACAAAAGTATTGAACTTCTAAAAAAAGAAAAACTAAGGTTGAGACAAATTTAAGATCGAGCAAAAATATATAAAAAAACAACTTAAATAGATATCTGTTATCAAAATGCTAGATAGAGTGATTAGGCCACCTCCTTTACATCCTTATTGTCCCCTATATTTTCAATGAGATTAAATCTAAGATCTTGCTGAAAGCTAATGATATAGTGCTCGTAAAGATGCCTTCACCTCTTACTCTTCCAAGAGCACAAAGTTCCTAGTAGGTGAGTTAACTTATATGATAAATAAATTATTAGTGTAAATAATTAAAGATAACAATTTGAGAAATGATTCATAAAGATTCAAATATAGAAGGAAAAGGTTTATAAATAAGAGTGCACCCTTTTTTCTAATTGATTAAAGGTTTTAGGATACTTAGGGCTAAATATCCTTTAGTTTAAGTAGTATTGAACTGGATGACATTTTAGAAAGTCTAAATTCGATATCAAAGAGATATAACTCTTTTAGTTAGCTAAAGAAATCACACTATATGTTAAAATTGACATTTGGCAGTCTAATTTACTTCGGCTAACCTTGGTAAGTAAAGCTCTCAAGAGAGTAGTGGCTCTTAGTTTTTAATGGCTCCTAGCTAAAAGCAAACAAAGTTTGAGTAATTGTAGCGCACATGAATTTGGAGCCAAACTCCAAGCCCGTTGTGCTACGAATAAGGGTCCGGTACAATCCTATGAGCACCAGCTCCCTGTATCTAGCATCTACACGCAAAATAGTGTTAGACAAAGTCTGGCACAATTTTGGCATACCGGTGGCCTAATGCAAGGAGGAGATGCTAGATACGAGATGCTAGATACTCCACCGACTAGAGCAGCGTGGAACTTGAGCTTAGACCCAAGCCGGACGCAGAACAAAGAGCGACACAACCCAATAGGAGCCAAATTAATGTTTTAGGTGGTTGGATATGCATTCCAACCACTATCCCTACTATACATTTAGAACCCCCCATAGCCCCCCCTGAGGAACACATGTTTTGGGCTTTCACCCCAAGCCTCCCTTAGTATCAGGAGTTAGTCTCTGGGACAAGCTCAAAACTTACTAAATATGGAATGGTACTAGTTGTGAATTTGGACACCATTGTGTTCAGGCCGACCTCTACATTCCGTAGATATGCCAAATGAACAAATCTAGACACTTTCCATAAATAACATTTGGGACTGAAATGAGACTAACACAAAGGGCGTGATAGCGAGGGTGTTTGGCAGACACGGTAAACTATCATCCAGCGATATTGAGGGACTAGTCTCAACACACGAAGGTTATTACCAAGCCATGCAAGACAGAGCAAAAGAGAACTAACAAGCTGGGCCAAGTATGCTTGGCTAAATAGACACTTAGGAATTCCTTCCTTATGCTCTTCCAACCAAATATAGATGCTAAGTCTAATTTACTAACACTTGGACAAAAGGGGCTAATAAAGGGAATCAACAGTATCGACCTCTTGCCATTATGGCAGTAAGGAAAGAGTGCCTGTAAGGACTAGCCGACAAGTATCTTTCAATACCCGAAATCACATTCGCGACACTCTCCCCCCTTTGGGGAAGATTGACGTCCTCGTCGATGCATACCCGAGTTTAACAAACTGTTAAGGAAACAACTCCGAAAGTTAACGAAAAGCACACTATGTAAGAAATACACCGACTTAAATGAGTTATGGAACGACCTCTCCTCTACGTCCAAAGACGTTAAAACTTAGACACCCTTTGGCCGTTGCCGACAAGAAAATAACTAACGGAGTTAGCCACCCTTGCTGCTCCAAGTACCACTAAGTTTACAAAGGAATGATATATCCCTGCCCGCAGGGACATAGGAAGAAGGCTAGAGGCCCAACCTCCCCTAAGCAAGAAATCAACCCTGTCAGGAAGATTTAGACAACTACTATAAATTGGTAGATTAAGTTGTTTACACGACCACGCCCATTTTCGAAAATGAGTCATCGAGAGAGAGGCGGGGACTTGTGATCAGTCTATAATAGTTATCCCCATATCCATGCACCGAAGTGCCGAAGTTAGCTTGCCAAAACTGACCCAAGTACGAACAAACAAGAAAAATGACACTTTGATTTATAGAAATATATTACTTTATTAATTTACAAGATTTATTACAAGATTTACAAAAGTTAATCTTTATTACGATTTTCATACTCTGTGACAAGCTCACGAGCATGTATAAGATTCCTAAGAGGCTCCCAAGTTAATTCACAAGATGGGTAACCTTTCCACTTAACTAGATACTCTCGACGTTTGGCATGTTTAAGCTAGCGTGTACCCAAAATAACTTCCACTTCATATTCAGGTGCACCATCCACAACTTTTAGTGGTGGGCAAATCTCCGTTTGACATGCATCATCCATAATGTAGAGCCAAGAGATTGGCATGAAATATATTATGAATATTGGACATCTCCGCAGGAAGATCCAACTAATAGGATACAGGACCAATGCACCTCAACACCCAATAGGGTCCAACATATCTCAGTAACAACTTCCGAGATAAAGATCCCTTAATGTTCAAGTTCCGGGAAGATAGCCACACCTGATCTCCCACTTGATAGGATACATTTCGACAATGCTGATCCTTATCATGTCGATACCTATCCTGAGCTTTGCCCATCGCCTTAGTAGCTCTAGACCAACCTTGGCGTAGCTGCTCCGCGTAAGTCTCAATGGCCGGGACTAACATTTCGGACATTGGTTTCAATACAATAATTTGTTAAGGAACCCTATGAGCATTCCCTTGTAGTATCTCCCATGGAGAATAGCCTATAGTGCTATGAAATGTGTTGTTATAACAGATTTCTGCTGTGTTTAAATGCTCAACCTAGTTGCGTTGGTCCGCCGCAACATAGTACTGCAAATAATCCTCAACTTGAGCATTCACACGTTTGGTCTGCCCATCAGTCTGAGGATGATAAGTCATACTAAACTTCAACTTGGTACCAAACAACTGGAGCAATATGCACCAAAACTTCCCCACAAACCTCAAATCCTTATCCGAGATTATCTTTTCGGGAAGACCACAAACTCGCACTACTTCATGGAAAAAGAGCTTTGCTGCTTATTTCACATTTATTGTTCCCACAGTTGGAATGAAGTGTGCAATCTTCGACAACTAATCCACAACCACCATCAAAGTATCATAACCCTTAGACTTCGGCAAGCAAGTGATGAAATCAAGTGTCACACTTTGAAATGGCCATGCCAATGCTGGAATGCATTACAACTTTCTAGCCTACTTCTTAGCTTTGCGTTTACATTGCTGGCATATAGGGTAGGAACAGACATAGTCCGCTATATCACCTTCCATACTAGACCAGAAAAATCCCTTTTTCAACGAAGCTAGAGTCTTTCGCTGTCCACCATATCCTACTGCTGGAACATTATGATGTTCCCGCAGAAATAACTGCTAAAGATCCTTAGAGGGAAGATACAATCTTTCTTGCTTATAGAATATAAGCCCATCCCGAACTGAGAAGTGAAGCTTTAC